TGCCGTCTTTTTTTTTGGAGCCGTTGTACGACCTGACCGTTCCGGGCAGTTTAGGGCATTTGGCCGGGCAAGGGGTTGTATTTGATTTCAAACAACGGGGCATTTCGGCCCTGGCCATGGGGAAAAAAAAGCTCCCCTTCGGGGTCGGGGGGGATGCTGTCCTTAATGTGCCCTCATCTCCCGCAAGAGATGCGCAGTACCCCGCTGACGGCCGCACGCGCGTGTCGCGCCCCTTTCCGCGCCCCGGGTCCGGCGGCGGCGGTGGCGGCGGTGGCGACGGCGACGGCGGCCCTAACAGCGGGCGCGGGCGCGGGCCCGGGCCCGGCCACGGGCGTGGTTTCCCCGACGCCGCGGGCTTTGGCCGGCTGCTGGCTCGAGCCAACCTGAGCGCGATGACCGAAGGGGCGCCCCTCCCCCCCCCATCCCCCCCCCCCCCCCCCTCCTCATCCCTTTCCTCCGTTCCTCCCTCGTGCAGTTGACATTCTCGCGCTTGGTCGAGAACTCGGCGGCGTGGAAGCCGAGACCGCCGCAGGCCACAGAGAGCATTCGCGCCTTTTGCCTGCGTTGCTACGCGCGCCACTTCTTGCGGGCGCTGCTGGCCGAGGACGACCGGTACGCAGAGGACCAGTTCGAGGTCTTCAGCTGCGACGGCGAGTTCTCCCTCGCGCTTGAGCCGCGCACGAAGCCGGAGCGCCTCCCGCGCGTCATTGAGACGGCTTTGGCTGGCTCCCCGTCGCTCCGAGCGGCATACCGCCGCATGTTCACCGAGAGAGCTGCACCGGCCCCGGCCCCGGCGCCCTCGGCCGGGCCTCCCGGCGCCATGCCCTCGCCTGGCCCGCCGTATGGCGGTGGCATGCCCTTCCCATGGGGCTATGGCACAGGGTACCCACAGCCTGCCTACCCGCCATCCCACTACTTGTGGCCTCCAGGGCAGTGGTCGCATGCGCCGCCGCAGTGGCCGCCAGCGGCGGCGGCGCAGTGGCAGCCACCTCCGCCGCAGCCGCCCCTGCCGACCGGACCGCGGGTCGGAGCAGCCAACGGTCCAATGCCGTCGATGCGGCCGCCACCCCACCCCGCTCCTCCCGTGGCACCACCCCGGCCCATGCCACCTCCAGGCGACCCTCCGCCGCGCCCAGCCCCTCAGCCGGTCGCGCCAGGCGCCCCTCCGCCGCGCCCAACCCCTCAGCCGGTCGCGCCGCGCCCCACCGCTGCTGCAGTGGACGACATGGCAATCTTCGGAGGGACGCCCGAGGATTAGCCTTGGGTGTCGCCCTCGCGCTCTCGCTCTCGCTCGCTCTCTCTTGCGCGCGCACTCTCTCTCGCTCGCTCGCTCGCTCGCTCTTTTGCGCTCTCTGGCTCCCTCTCTCACTTGCTTGCTCGCTCTCTTGCGCTCTCTCTTGCGCTCGCGCGCGCGCGCGCGCTGCTCGCTCGCCGCGCTGCTCTTGCATGTACGCTGCACATTGTCCCATGGGCGAGAGAGCTCTCTCGTCGTCTCGGCTCCTCGCTCAAGTAGGAATCCTACGTCGCACTTTGTACCTCGGTCGAGAATTTTGCTTTCCGGCTGGTTTTGGTTTGTCGTGTGAGTCGTCTCTGCACTCTCTGACGGTATGTGGAACGTATGTATCTTTTTTATCAAGGAATTTTATTTATTACGTATTCCTAAATCCCATCTCGTCTCTCAGAGTTTGAGCTTTGACCGCGTTTTATTTATTTTGGACAGCGATTTGACCCAAAACAGGGGTCGTGCCGGTCGTTTATCCTAGTGTAGTGTGGGAAGGTCCATCACCCATGCAGCGATAATCACCACTGATGAATCCTAGTGATCCTAGCAGCAGAGTGACCCGAGATATGGGGAGATATCGGGAGATGTCGTGAGATATGGGGAGATGTAGGTCGCGCCTCGAGCAGCCGAGCTGCATTATAGAGATGGGGATACATGGGGAGATGTGGTAACATGTCTCCCGCCCCGCGAGCGGCAGAGTTCCATGTCACATGGGGAGATATGGGGAGATATGGTGAGATGTGCGGTGCCGCGCAATGGGATTCGGCATTACTCGTACTCACCAACGGGGCACGGGCGGGAGTGCGCGCGCGGGGGGGGCGGGGATGCAGCGCACACCGCGGAGACACCCGTTGGCGGGGCAAAGAAGAAAAACTCGACCGCACGCGACACGCCTGCCGGCACAAGGCGAAAGAAGCCGCGAGAACAAGGGACCGGCAGGCGGCGGCGTCGCAGGACGAGGCAGAAGAGAACGACGCGACAGAGGAGGAAGTGACAAGGGAGAGACAGACGAGAGTGGGACGGCCGCGAGGTGGCATGAAGGTTGCAGCGAGAAGCGGCGAGAGACTGCGAAAAGAGATACGAAGAGGCAGACTCCCCAGGGTGGGCGACGGCTAGCGCACCACACTCCTCTCCTTAAAATCCCTGTGTGGTGGCGGCGTGCCGTTCTCCCATCCCTCCCTTGGGTTGTGTGTTTTCTTTCTTTTTTCTGCCGGCCGTTCTCCCTCCCTCCAATCGTTCTACGGCCGCGCTTCAGGGACGGACGATATCGTCCGTCCCTGAGGCAAAGTTGCTTTCAACCCCAAGGAAGCAGAACTCCGGTTCCGTCAACGATAAAGAAGAGAATTTAAACAAAACAACTCTCTCTCACAAAGAAGAGAAAAGACTTTCGACCCGGGACCGTCCGCGAAACGTCCCTCGGTCGCACTTCGGCGACAGTCTCGCTTCGGCCTCTCGCCGCTGGTACTGAATATGCGCAACATCCATCCGTCCACAACCAATTGGTAGAGCACACCTCGTCTCTGCGCCACAATGGCTGCGTGACGGGCGAGCTCCCAGTGTGGGGCAGCTTGTGGATTCATCACAGCGTTGAGATCAGGATGGAGCGAGTTGGACCACTCAGAAGCTGACCTGAGCAGTGCCCCTGTCAACACGGTCAGGGCAGGAAGGGCGGACATGGACCCGCTGCGAACTCCCTTGTCTGGGCAGTAGCTGCCGGCCGTGAATCCCTTCCCGGACCAAGAATAAACGTGCATGTGCGATGCGTGCCGGCGTACGTGGAGCGACCGTTTACTGGCAGATGGATGTGGCAGTGCGGGTGTGCCGCCGTCTCGGTGTGTCCACTCCCTAGGAGTGTTGACGCTACCTGAGTTCGGCAGCCGCCCGCGGTGATCATGTGGACCTGGTGCATGCGAACTCGCTCGCGGCTCAGCTGCGGCTCGGCTCCGGCTGTCGGCGTCTCGCGTCTCGCTCCTCTGTGCGGCCGCATGTCGAGTGACATTACTCGGCTCTGTCCTCTTTGGTCTGTCGCCACAACTCCCCGCTGCTCTCTGTCGCCAATGCCCGTCCCCGCTGCTCTCTGCTGAGACTACCCCCCTCCCCTCCCAACGACCACCACTGCACAGGTGAATGCCGCTCACTGCCGAGATGACGCACCAGTCATTCCGTTTGACCTCTCTACAGAGCACTCTACAGAGCACCACACAAGCCCACAGAAAACCTAATTTTTGAACGCGGAGGCCTATAAGTGCCCACCCGTTTTTGTACTCGTGCGTGTGTGGTGCGGACTGTGGGGCTCAGGGGGGGCAGCCTCCCTCCCTCCCTCTTTCCCTTTCCTGCCTGCCTGCCTGTCTCTGGTCTGTCGGAGTCTGACTGTCTGTGTGAGAGGGTGCGGCCCGCTAGAGTTCCACCCGGTCGTCTGCCGCGCCGCTCGCCGTCACTGCCAAGTCCTCTCGCTCACGTGAGCGGACGAGCTGGGTTGGGCACAGGTGCGTGTGAGGCACACTCTCACGGCTAGAGGCCACTCAGCAACTCGTACGGCCTACGAAGCTGCCCCTCTCGAGGGAAGCCCAGACAATTCGCCTTCTTTTTCTCTCTTTATTTATAAGTGTGAGTGCGCAGTCGGGAATTGTGTAGCAGCGGCCCCAACTCCTCAGGGAGCTTAGATTTGTAAGAAGCGCACCTAGCGGATGATCGGGCTGGATGATCGGGCTGGAGCTCGAGAGAGATCTTCACGTAAACGCACAACCCCGGGCCCGATCTTCACGGGGACAGCCACCACCCTCGCCTTAAGACTATGGCAGCGGCTGCGCTGGTCGCTCGCATGGGCCGCACCGTGGCGCTGTCCTCGGACATCGCCACGCGTGTCGTCTACAAGCGGTGGTTCCTCGAACAAACCTACGATACGATCGCTGCAGAGCTTGAGATTGGCACCACGACTGCGTGGCAAATCTACCAGCGCTTTGTGCAGACAGACGGCGTCGAGACGTTCCAGGGGCGACGGCCCAACGATCCGTGGAACGGCCTTGTGTCGTCTCACCTGCGCGAGCCGCTCCTCCGGGCCCTCACCGAGTGCGACGCCGAGTCGGACCTGCAGGACATTGCCGACGCCTTCCAGCGCTTGACTGGCGTCGCCGTCTCGACCTCTGCTATCTGCCGCACGTCGATCGCGATGGGCTGGACGCGCAAAATTGTGCGCCGCCATAGCGGCTTCTGGTCTGATATTGAGCATCTCCAACCATCTCTCCCCTCCCCGCACAGCTCTCGCAGCTGCTGGACCGGCACGACGAGCAGGCCGCGCATGAGTTTGTCTTGCGCATCCTCTCCACCTACGCGATGTGTCAGCTGGTGTGGGCGGATGAGGCTTCGTGCGATGCCCGCAATCTTCTCACGAAGTGCGTTTGTGCTTGCACGCGCGCGCGCACTCCTCTCGCCCTCCTGAGGCCGCTCGTGTCTCACTGCGCAGGCGGTTCGGCCGAGCGCTGCGCGGTGAGCGCGCAAACTCCGAGCGCGGCATCACCGTCCGCGGCCAGCGGTGGTCGGTGCTGGGCGTGTTTGATGTCACTCGCGGTTACGTTGACCACTTTGCCGTGGAGGGCCCCATCGATGCGGAGCTGCTGTTCGAGGCCGTCACCAACCACGTGGTGAGGCTGCCCGTGCGCGGCGCCCCTCTCACCACCTGTCTCACCTGCTGCCCCCCCCCCCCCCCCCCAGATGCCTCACATGAACCCGTTCACTGGGCCCCAGGGCCGCGAGGAGCGGTCAGTCCTTGTTTGGGACAATTGCCGAACGCACGGGCGCCACGAGCTGCTGAACCTCATGTCTGAGTTGGGCTTCGTCGTGGAGTTTTTGCCCCCGTATTGCCCTGAGATCGCTCCACACGAAAAGTGCCTCCGGCGGATGAAGCTGGCGGTGCGCGCAGCGGAGTGTGATTTCCGTGCCATGGATTTGGGTGTGCCGGACCTCATTGAATACGGCATGGCGCATGTGACGCCTGCGGTGTTCCGCTCGGCGCTGCATGAGTGTGGTTATGGGTCGGTGTTGTGATATGAGTTCTTTTCTCTGTTTTAGTGCCAGTCCCGTGCCCGTGCGAGGGAGCGTGGGCGCCTCGCCCTTTTTCTCCTTCCAGAGACACCGCCAGCCGCCTCGCCGCGCCGATGACAAGCACGCAAGACGCGTCTTCATCGGGGACGCTGGAAGACGACCCGCCCTTCGCCGAGCCGCTCTTCGGTGACCAGCCGTACGCACTGGTCTCTTCAGCTCCCGCGCGTACACTTTCGAGACGCAGCTTTGCGCTGTCTTTTGGCCCGAGCGGCACTTTGTTGGGAGGGGTGCCCGGGTTGGTTGTGGAGTTCGATTCGGCTGGCCAGAGCAAGGTGGCGAGCGGAGTCGCGCCCGAAGATGGGGTCTTGTCCGACCCCTTCGTCTCCATGGCGTCCTGTCCGGTCAACACGGCACGGCTCTACATGACGGACTGGGATGCTTCAAGCGTGATCATGATCACGCTTCCGCAGGGTCAGGCCACGACCATCGCGGGGAGCGGCGCGGCGAGCAGCATCGATGGCGTGGGGTTGGATGCCACCTTCAATCGACCGTGCGCTCTGGCAGTTACCGCGGACGGCGCAGCGCTATTCGTGGCCGACTGCCTTGGGCATCGCATCCGCCGCGTCGAGGTGGCGACGGGCGCGGTGACCACGGTCGCCGGCAGCGGCACTGCGGGCCGCGCCAATGGCGCGGGCAACGAGGCGCAGTTCTATCACCCGGCCGCCCTCGCGCTTGCCCCAAATGGCGACACCCTCTTCGTGGCCGACTGCACCGGGCACGTCATCCGGCGGGTGAACGTGGCATCGGGCGTCGTGACGACGTTGGCCGGCAGTGGGGCAAAGGGAAGCGCAGATGGCCCAGGGCCGTCGGCGACGTTCAGCAGGCCACAGGGTCTCGCCCTCAGCCCCGATGGCGCCGCTCTCTTCGTCGCCGACCACGGCAATCACAAGATCAGGCTTGTGGATGTGTCCTCCGCAGTCGTTACCACAGTGGCGGGGAGCGGCGAGAAGGGCAGCGCCGACGGTGTGGGGGGGTGCGCGCAGCTGGAGGCGCCGCGTGCGATTGCACTCTCCCCGCAGGGCAGCACGTTGGCGGTGTGTTGCGTCGCAGACCCCTCCCGCATCCGCTTCGTCCACGTGGCTGCGCCTCCTCCGCCTCCCTCCTTCGCGCCGCTCGTGGTGCCGCCCTCGACCTTTTCGGCCGACATGAAGAAGACGTGGGGCGACGCCTCCCTCCCGCAGGGCATGGTCACCTTCCTGGTCGGCGACGACGAGGAGCGCGTCGAGCACGTGAGCAAGTGCGTCCTCTGCGCCCGGTCCGTTGTCTTTCGGACCATGTTCGGCATCGGCATGAAGGAGCGCGACGCCGCCGAGGTCACGGTGTCCGACACCAACCTCGCCAGCTTCACCGCCTTCATCGAGTACCTCTGCGCCGACGAGCTCAACCTCGGGGAGGGCGAGCAGGCGCGGCGCGCGCTCGACCTGCGGGAGCTGGCGCAGATGTACCAAGTGCCGCGCCTCGAGCTGCTCTGCGCGCAGGCGCTGCAGGAGAGCGTCGGGCCGGCGACCGCCGTGCCGCTGCTCGAGGCGGCGCACATGACGGGCGACGGGCGTCTCCTTGCGCAGTGCCGCCGATTCGTGGCCGACAACGCCGCCGAGGTGCGGGCGAGCGGCGGCGTGGAGCAGCTGAGCGACCTCGGCGTGGCAAAGGGGCTGCTCGGCGACGCGCTCGACCAGGTGTCGGAGCTGCAGGGCGCGATGCGCGCGCTTGGCGCGGTCCGGTGAGGGGGGAGGGGAGAGGGGCGGGGGGGGGGGCGCTCTTTAGCCAGGCTATTGAGAACAGACGGAGAGATGGGTGCGTGCCCGTCCTGTCTGGTCTATCGAGATGCATGCAGCATGGCCATACCGCGATGGCGCGTCATGGTCGGCGTGGCGGCGGCGGCGGCTTGTTCCAGCCGCGAGTACTTTCGTGATACAAGAAAGAGGTCAGACACACACAGGTCGTCAACATCACACAGACTCGTGCGGGTCGAGGAGGCACTGACATCAAAACACGCGCGGTGTGGTGTGCGGCCGGCGCGCGCGATTCCGCGAATAAGAAAGGCGGAGAACAGCTTAGAGTCGCGGGTCCTCTTCACCTCACTGCAACGCCGGGTACATGGACAGGTATGGGTCAGAGAGACACCGGCGTCTCGAAGAGACCGCTCTCGGCGGCGGTTTTGGAGCGCCCAGACACTCGCGGCTCCGCTAGGCTTTGTGTGAGCGGCGAGCGACGGTCGCCCGCCCCGAACCTGCGCGTCGCCTGCGCCGAGGGCGACCACTGGTGAGGGGGTGTGTGGGCGGGCCAGCGGGCGGGCGGATGGGCGGGCGGGCGGGGGGGAGGGAGGGAAGGGAGGGAGGGAGGGGCCAGGGAGGGGGCGGCGGGGGAGAGAGAAGGAGAGAAAGAGAAAGCGAGGGGGAGAACGAGAGCGTCCGGATGCGGAGGACGGGGGGTCGGCGATCGCGATTCCGTCGATCCGCCGCCGAATATGCTAGACACTCGGACGTGTGAGCAGCCACTCGGTAGGAGCCAGACGCGACGTGTGAGCAGAGCGGTGCAGTCGCGGTGGAAATTTGGGAGCCGAGTGAGCGCCGAGGAGGGTGAGGCGAGCGCGGGTGGTAGGATTACGTCCGAGTCTATGCGCACACCGAAGTGCAATGCGAGGCTGCAGTGGCGTGCGGCGTGTGTCAGATGGCTCGGCCCGTCCTCCCTCGCCGGAGAGAGGGGGAGGAAGGGCGTGGTCAGATGGCTCGGCGGGATTTTGTCCGAGTGTCTGGCGTCTCACGTCTCTCGCGAGGAAGGCGCACCGAGGCGCGACCGAGACGATCCGACCGAGACGAGACGATCCGATACGAGACGATACGAGACGAGCGATCCTATACGATACGAGACCGAAGTTTTGGATTTTTGTTTTTTCGCAAGGTGCTGCAACCGGCTCTACTGGTCGAATTGCGGCGCGGAGTCCTCCGGATGCTCGGAGCGGCGGCTCTGCTCGCCTTCGCCGCTCCGCAACCGCTGGCGCACAACGAGGACAGCGGAGCCAACCCTGGCGCTCAGCGCAGCGGAGGCCGTTCGGTCACTCGCGGGAGGAGCCTCAGTGTGGCGGCAAGGTTCAAAGACCACCTCGACGCCACGGGCGACAAGATCGACGGGAAGGCGGCAGAAATCGAGTGGAAGCTCATGCAGAAGCTAGAGGCTCTCGCCCACAAATTTGACAAGAGCCCCTCGCCTCCGCCCCCCCTCCCTGGATCCCCTCCTCTGCCTCCGCAGCCACCGCCGCCGCCGCCTCCGCCGCCGCCTCCGCCGCCGCCTCCGCCGGACCCGCCTCCTCCGCCGGACCCGCCGCCGCCGCCTCCCAATCCGCCAGATCCGCCACCACCGCCTCCGCCCCCGCCGCCGCCTCCAGACCCACCCCCGCCACCGCCGCCGCCGCCGCCGCCTCCCAATCCGCCGCCGCCGCCGCCGCCGCCGCCGCCGCCGCCGCCCCCTCCGCCCGCGACGCCGGGCGCCCGATTCTTCTTCTTCCTCCGCGCGGAGCCCCCGGGCGCAGCCGCAGCGGCGGCATCCTCGCCCGGCCACGGAGCGAGCGCTGCCTCTGCAGCGGGCGCGGCCCTCGGCCTCGCCGCCGTGCTCGGCCTCGTGGTCAGGGCGGGCGCCGGCGCGCGCGCGGCTCGCGCGGCGCTGGTCTGACCTACTGCTCGCGCGGCGTGAGGGTCTCTCCTCCTCTCTAGTCTGGTGAGGCTCATCCTGGGTCTGATGTCGTATTGCAGCTCCGAGTTTGGTGGCCGCATGTCGCACGAGTTTGGTGGCCGCGCGAGCCAGCGCCCGGCGCCAGAGTATGTATGTGCTGTGCTGTCGCGCTCTGCGTGCTGTGCTGACGCCTGTGTATTGCCGGTACTTACGTGTTACGTGTAGCGCAGTGTGTTGTGTATGTCATGTGCTGCGACCCTAGGGTTGTCAAACGTTAAGAGAGCTGAAAACAGTGTGAGTTCTGCTACGCGGCTGGGTTCACAGCGATTGTAGGAAAAGAAGGGAATACCTGACGGTCGCGGCCTTCCGACTCGCGCCTCCGCCTCACTGGCACTATTGTAGCCCTGGCCGGTGCGCGTGCAGAGTTGAAGTTCCGGAGTAAAAATTCGAACGCGTTCTCTCACGGTGACCAAAAAATGTCCACCTCAGAGGCACCTCCGGAGGCAGGCCGCCGCACGCCGGCGACACAGCTCCAGCTGTCGAACTGACCCGCAGCTCCTCTCAGAGCGGGAACTGTGACGAAAGTTGACTGAGGCGGTTGTCAGGAATCATCATACGGATCACATGGTGGCTCTCTTATGACGGGAGACCGCCCAACCACTCCTGGGTGGCACTGCCACCGGTGTCGCTCGACGTCCTGTCGACAGCGTGCCGACAGCGACACAGACCATGTGGGACGCGTCGAGTATCGACCTCTACTGCTTACCCAGCCTTCGAGTGTACCCTGGCTGTGGTCCCACACCCACTGGTGTCCATCTCAGAGACCGCAGGAGGTCATGAGGGTCGATGGGAGTGCCAACCCCACAATGTGCCTAAAAAGTAACCCAGCCCAGTATATCGAAAAAATACGCAGCAGAGTGTCAACAGCGGAGTAACAACAGAACAACAGTGGGGCTCCCCAACAACAGTAGCTAACGTTAGGCCGGCTGAACAACGATGAGGAAGGCCTGGCAGTGACCCATGACGATCTCCAGCGTCCAGTACGGGTAATACCCGAAAATACCGCCGCGGGAAAACCCAGGTAAGCAATAAATAAAACGGTGAAAACTCTGAGACGAGATGGGATTTAGGGACGTGTGTCCCCGCCCTGCACGATCTTGGTGTGAGGGATCTTCAATCCGTGTCCCCTCACCCCTCGTCACAGCCCGACACGGAAGAGCGGCAAGAGTTGGGGCTGCGGCTACGGCTGCGGCTACGAGAGGGGCCGGGGTCGCGGGAGAGCCGCTGCGCCGCGTGGACGCGCCTACACCGCTCTTGCTCCGCTCGCCACCTCTCGCAAAGGTCCAAAGTCATAGCCATCATCACCTCCTCCGGCAAGTCCTTTTCGCCTATCTTGCCGTCCCTCCAATCCTGGAAGAGCTCGTCGTCATAGCCGTATTGCATCACAGCCTGCTGCACTGCGTCGTGTACAACCCCTGCCACCCTATCCCGCGCCTCGGCGTCGGAAAAGTATTGGTCGAGCTCGGAGTCATACTCGGAAGCGGGCGCAGACGGCCGCGGTGATTTGGCAGGCGGCGAGGAGGGGGAGGGGGAGCGCGGCGGTGCCAGAAGGGCCAGCGCCCAGCGCGCTCAGCCTGTTCTTGTTCACCTTGGGAGAGGGGGATGGGGGTCCACCTCCCTTGGGTGCGGGCTGGCGGTCAGGCTTGCGCTTGACCGCCTTGCCCGGCGGCTTGCGGCCATGGTTCCTCATGGTGAACCTGTCCGGCATGCCGCCCTTCCCAACCTGGTCCGGGAATTTTCCGGGTTTAGCCGGGGTTTTTCGTGGCATTTTCTGCTTGCTGACCACTGAACAACAGTTTAAACAACAGTAACAAACAGTAAATCTTGTAACAGCTTGGGCTGGGGAGATCAGAACACTTGAACAACGTTGAGGATTTCAGCCAACAATAGTGCAACTGTTAGGCCCAAAGTTAACGTTTGTTTGACAACCCTACATGCGACCCTCGCTGGACGCTGCGTCCAGGACCAGGTCGCCTTGCGAGAGAGATCGTAAAAAAAATAAAAACGGACACTCTCTGATCTCTGACTGAGATGGGTGAAGAGAGAGATCGTGTGTATGTTTGACCCATGTGAGTTTTTGACACCCCGCTGTGTGCGCGTAATGTGTGCGGGTGAGCGTTCTTTTTGCGAAAATCGCTCTGGCCGCCGGCGCGGGGACGGACGGAGGAAAATCTACAACTGGAGACTATACCTAGATCCTATAGTCGTCAATCTCTGAGTGTGTCCGTTTGTATTTATTTATTCATTCCTCCCTTCTCCGCCCCGCGCGAAACTCGGACCTCGCTTCCCGCTCCCGCCGCCGCTTTTGCTGCCTCTGCTTGCGCTCCCGCTGCTTACTCTCGTGCCGCCGCCTGCGCTGCTCCTGCTGCTGCGGCTGGCCGCTGCTCCGTTGAGGGCGCGGGGGGTCACCCTCGTCGGCGGGCGACGGCCTCTGCCGCTTGGCACCGCGTCCGCGCCGGAAGCCGGCGCCGCCGGGACCACGTCCGCCTCCGCCGCCCCGGCCGCGCCCACCTCCGCCCCTGCCTCCGCCTCCCCAGCCGCCCCCACCCCCGCCCTCGTCGTCCGAGGCGCAGCCAGCCTCGACGCGCGCCCGCGCCGCCACCACCTCCGCCTCCGCGCCCGCCTCGCGCAGCCGCCACGCCGCGCCCCCTCCCCCCTCGCCCACGCCGCCGCCGCCGGCCGGCCGCGGCTCGCCGAGCGCCGCGAGGGCCGCGCGCGAGATGCGATCTCCCGAGCGTGGCCGCCAGCCGGGCAGGAGGGCGGAGATGCAGCCGCGAGAGCGCAGGCCGGCGAGGGCGCGGCCGAAGAGGCTGCTCACCGCTCTCCAGCGGAAGCACTTTGCTCCGAGGTCGACGCTCGCGCAGAGCGGGTCGCGCATCTGGGAGCGGGAGGGCGGGGGAGCGTCGGGGGCGGGCGGCGGCAGCGGGAGAGTGGCTGGGAGATGCCAAGCAGGGCTGGTGGCCCTCGTGCGGCGAAGGTGTTGGGAGGAGGGGGGAGCCCGGAAGGGGCCTCTCGGAGGGGAAGCTTCTCGGAAAGGGAAGCGTCTCGGCAAGGGAGGCGGTAGTGGCACCTGGAGGGCGTCGCCGCGGTGCGCCGCGTACCGCGCGAGGAAAAGGACGAGCAGCGCCCCGAGGTCCGCCTCGCCCGTCTCGCCCGCCTCGCCCGCCTCGCCCGCCTGGCCATGCCCCTCCCCGTTGTGCCGCGCCACCCGCTCCGCCATCACGAAGAGCAGGTACGAGCCCACGCCGCCGGTGTACGTCTCGGACAAGCCATGCCTCCGCAGCAGCAGCTTGACGGCCAGCAGGAGCGGGCGCAGCTCCGGCCGCGCTCGCAGCCTCCCCCGCACCCAGGCGGACCCGCGCGGGCCGCCCTCCTGGTCGATGCACACGTCCACCGCAGCGCGCGAGGCGGCGTCAGTGTACTTGAGGATGGGCACGCGCGCGCGCACCACCTCTGGCGAGCGCGGGTAGCCGAGCGCGACGCCATCGCGCAGCAGAGCACGCATCAGCCGGCGGAGCGGCTTGACAGCCTCGCGCTGCCTCAGCCGCGAGGTCGGCCGCGGGATCGGCTGGCCGCGCCGCCGCTTGCGGTGGCCGGCCGGAGCCTCCTCCTCCTCCCCCTCCTCCTCCTCCTCCTCCTCCTCCTCCTCCTCCGCCTGCCCCTCCTCCTCCTCTGCCGCCGCCGCCGCCGCCGCCGCCGCCGCTCCGGCGGCCTCAGCGGTCGTGATGACGAGGTCTAGGTCGGAGCTTGGGAGTGAGAGGTCGGTGGCGTTGGAGCCGAAGAGGTCGAGGCTGCCGCCGGGCATTGTACGGGCGAGCGAGCCAGCGGCGCGGCGCAGCGCGCCCTCTAGTGCAGCGCGGCTCGCCTCGGTGGGCGACGCGGATGCGGCGAGCGCGATGAGCTGCGAGTGGAGCAGCGAGCGCGGCGGTGCATCGAATCGCGGAGCACGCCACCGCACTCTCGCAAGCAGACGCTTCGCCGATGCATCCGGCTCCTCTGGCTCACTGCTGCCGCCTCTCCTGCTGCTGCCGCCGCCGCCGCCGCCGCCACCTCCGCTGGCAAGACTCTCGCCGTCACCGCCGTCAGTGCTCGCGCCATCGAACACGCCGTCAACGCCGTTCGAGAGCAGGAGTGGCATGCAGCAGCAGCTGCGTGCAGCTGCAGCTGGCAAAGAACGCCGTGAGGAGGCGCGATGAGGAGGCGCGGATAGACGGAGCGAGGGCACGAGCCCGAATGCGGAAAAAAATTAAGTTAAAAATAGGTTGCCGGCACGGGGCACAAACGGGGCACAAACGCCAGGCTACAAACACGGGGAGGCACGTAGTCGTAGTGCCCTCCTGTCGTTGTGGAGGCAAGAAAGAAAGCGCATGCCCGGACCTCGCGGGTACAATTCTTTTTCAGTGAATATGCTCTCCGTGCAGCGCTCGGCGGCGCCGACGCGAGCAAAAGCGGCTTCGTACGACGGTCGCGTAAACTTAGAAAGAAAGAAAGAAAACAGACAACAGGGTGGCCCGCCACAACGACCCCTGGAATTGCGACTCGCCGCTTTCCTCCCGCTGTGATCCTGTGTGAGCTCTGTGTCTTGATTTGCCAACAAAATACCTACACCCAAGGGAGGGATGGGAGGACGGCACGCCGCCACCACACTTGTCATCTCGTGTTGTGTGCTCTTAAATTTTTCCGTCTTCGGCCGCATCAAGAGCGGGCCGACTCCACAGAGCAGAAATGATGGGCTCTCGTGCCGAGGCGCGCGAGCGCGTGAACTCCGAGCTGCAGCAGCTTCGCTCGAGGGAGAAGGGCGCGTCGCCCGAAGAGCTCAAGAATATTGTTGATCGCAAGACGGAGCTCAAGAAGATGCGAGGCCTCGGCGTGTACTACGGTGAGGACAGAGACCCTGCGTCCCCACGGCGCACCCGCGTGCCCTGCTCGAGCATCCGCAACGCGCTCCCCTCCCTTCGGCCTCTCCCGCCGCCCGCCTCGCCTCCACTTGCCCGCCTCTCTCCAACCGTGCTCTGCTCCTCCCTCATGCGGCGGCAGGCGCGCCAAAGGAGGAGAGCGGCTTCACGATGCCCGACCTGTCCTCGCTCTCCCTGCCCGGCGGCTTCGCGCTCCCCAAGGAGATCGACGCCGAGCTGATGGCTCAGTCGGGAGGGTTTGGCACCGTGATGGGCGCGTGCACCGGCCCTGACCACCGCCACCGCCACCACCGCCTCCACCGCCACGGCCGCCACGCCCACACCTCTGTTCCGCCCTCTCCTCGGCTGTCCGCCCTTCCCCACCCCCAACAGGCGCCTGCACCGGCGTCGCCCTCAAGAAGCTGGGCAAGGCGCGTCTCGCCCTCCTCTCTCCTCTCCCCTGTCTCCCATCTCCCTCTCCTCCCCTCTCCTCTCGCCTCTTTTACCCCTCGCCTCTCCCCCTCCCGCCCTCTCTCCCCCCGCCTAGGCGGCGATGGGCATCACGGGATTCATCTTCATGACCCTCACCGCAGCGGAGAAGCAGGGCTTCATGACGGCGCGCGCGCGGGGGGAGGGAGAGGGAGACCGCGGGCATGTCCACGGCATGCCCACGGCATGCCCACCCTTCCCCACCCTTCCCCACCCTTCCCCACCCTTCCCCACCCTTCCCCACCCTTCCCCACCCTTCCCCACCCTTCCCCACAGGTGCACTGGGATAAGGTCAAGGAGAAGACCATGAAGCTGATCGACACGGACGGAGACGGAGAGCTCTCGCAGGTCTTCCTCCGAGACACCCTTGCTGCAAGACACCTCCGAGACACCTGCAAGACACCTCCGAGACACCTCCAAGACACCTCCGAGACTCCCTGAGATGCTGCAAGAGACACCTCCAACACCTCCGAGGAACCTCCCGAGACAGCGCCGGCTGCCCGTCGCGCTGACCGCCCCTGCCCCTCAATTGCCACCGCCGAGACACTGCCGAGACAGGACGACATGAAGAAGCACTTTGGAAAGCTGGTCGCGTACATGACGGGAGAGAACTCGGCCGTGACGGCTGGCACCTACGGCGCGCTCCTCGCCTCGCCCTCGCCCTCGCCCTCGCCCTCGCCCTCGCCCTCGCCGCAAGGCTCCTGGCCGCAGGAGAGCCCTCACCCACCTCCCACACCCCGCCTCCAGGCGCGGGCCTGCTGCTCGGCTTCCGATACGGCTGAGTCGAGCCCCGACCCCCTTCCCCCAGCAGCTCCTCCCTTCCAGTTGTACCCCCGACTCCCGTCTCTGCATTCGCCTCCCTCCCTCCCTCCCGCGGCGTCGCTGGGGCCGCAGGGTGCCCCCCCCCCCACCCACCTTTTCTCTTCTTCTGTGCGGCCGCCGCCTCTCCGGCCGACTTGGCGCCGCCTCTCCGACTCGGCGTCTCGAGGCTGTAGCCGGCCGGTGCCGTCTCTCCCCGCTTGTGATGGCGGTGCGGACAGTGTGGTGGGTGTGTGCTCTCGCGCGGGCGAGAGTGGCGGGCGTCCGGGCGAGAGTGGCACGATGTCGTGACGTGTGATCGCGTGTCCCGCGCGTCCTTGCGCTCGGAGGATGAGAGAGACGTGACGAGACGCGCCGCCCGCCGAAGTTCTCTTTGGTCGGGGGGGGGGGGGGGTTGACCGCGGAGAGGCGTGACAAAAAGAGTGTACATTTTTTACACGACGCCCGTCGCCAGAAGCCTTTGATCTTGTTGATCAGCGCCTCGAGCGAGGCCGCGTCGGGTGGCGTCCAAGGCACGTTGTGCCCGCGGCCGCCGCCCGCCGCCACCCACCACGCCACTGCCGGGTCGTCGGGCTCCGTGGCTGCGAGATCTCGCAGCCTCTTCCGCGTCTTCGAGCACCCGCCGCTTGAGTCGATCTGCCGCTCGAAGAATCGGGCGGCGGGCTCGCGCTCGTCCATCAAGCGAATGACCTCGTCGATGCTTTGCGGCAGTTCTGCCGAGGCCCCGGTCGAGGGCGGGGCGGCGGCGGCGGCGGCGGCCTCGACGTGCTGCCGCGCGCTGGCAAAGAGCTCTTGCTGCATGCGGAGCAGCTCCTCCTCGCTCAGCCCGTCGAGCGGCACCGCCCGCCTCGCCTTCTTCTTCCGCCGCCTCTTCTCGCCCTCGGGCGAGCTACGGCTGCAGCCGGCCTCGGCGGCGACAGTGGTCTCGGAAGTAGAGGCTCCTACAGCGACCGCGGCATCGGCGGCGGCCTCGGCGGCGGGCTCGGCAGCGGCGGCCGCGGCGGCGGCAGCTGCGTGCTCTTCACGCAGCGCGTCGGCGAAGGGCGCGAGAGCCTCGAGCAGAAGCGCGCCGTACTTCTCCACCTTGACCTCCCCCATCCCGTGGCACTGCCGCAGCTCTTTGGGCGAGGAGGGCACTCGCTTGCACATGTCGACCATCGTCCGATTGTTGCAGACGACAAACATCGACCTTGCGTCATGTGTGTTTTTCTCGAAGCAAATATGTGCGGCCCCCGCGAGCAGGGAAGAGGACCGCCGCAAGCGGCGTGGCGTGGGGCGGTTGAGCGTCCCTCCGGGGGCTCCTCTGCGCCGGGGAGGCGTTGTTGGAGGCTAGGTGCGTCCGTCGCCTTTTTCAAACTCGGGTCCCACTCCGCTACGCTCCGACCCGAATTTGGAGGGCCATGAAGTTTAAGGTGTTGCTGCGCAAAAGGGGTGGCGCGCGGGCGGGCGGCGCGGCGGCGCCGAAAAGAAGCACTCACTGCTCACAAGAGGTAAGTTAAGTCATAATGTTAATGGGACACCAATCCTCACTCCTCGGTTACTGGACCGTCACGTGTTCAACGACGTTGAACAGTGTTCAACCACGGCGCTGTTCACAGCGCGCGCGGACGGCCGTTCTGCGAGTCCAGCTCCGCTGGACTTTTGTAAAGCATGCTTGTGGCAAGTTATAGACGCTAGTATCGACCTCAGAGACCCAAACCCGAATTAATAATTAAGGCTCAAAGTATGGTTGAACAACCGTTGAACAAACAGGTTGAACAACGATATCCGACTAGTGCGACCGCTAGACGGCGGTCTCCGCCGGCCCCAAGGCTGCCCAGCCCCAGTACCACACCGGCCACGTGCACCGTAGCGCTGGAGTTGGTCAGTGAGGCACTAGACGGGCTACGGAACCATGCGCGCGCCGGCCGGATAGGCTGCGCGCAGGGGCCGCGCCGCCTCGATTTTGCATCTCCGCTCCGCGGCCGACTGAGGGGCCAGCTCGCCCGGCGACAAGCCCAGCCATCGCCCAGCGCCCCGTATTGACGGAGGGCACGCAAAAAACCCGCACCTACGACTAGGGTGAGCCCGTGAGGGCGTCGGTGTCGGCCGCGGGCGGGCTGCGAGGAGGGCGCGGGTGGGAGCATGGGAGATGCACCACCGCTCGACGACAAACATCGACGGAGTACACACGCCTCTCGAGACGTCGAGCGGGCCTTGGCGTTGCGAATCTCGCGGAGCGCGGAGTACACACGCCTCTCGAGCGGAGTGAGCCGCAGCCCCTCTTCTCGCTCGACAGGAAGGGCGTCCGGATCCTCCTCCTCCTCGGACGCAGACGCCGCGGCGGCGTCGCGGCCGCCAAGAACCAGAGGCCTCCTCTGCGCCTTGCGCCGTCGCCTACCCTCGTCCTCGTCGGGGTCGTGCTCGATGTAGACGTTTGGCGCCGGCATGTCCTTCAGCCTCGATGAGCGGCGTGACGGCCCCGCCGCCGGACTCGCCTTGCGCTTGCCTTTTGCAGACGGCGCCGGCGGCGCCGCCGGCACCATCCCGTCGGCCAACCCGAGTCGGGCCAAATGCTCGTGGTTGCGGCGGATGTTCTCGAGCCGCTCCAGCTCGTAGGCGGAGAGAGACATCTCGGGCCAAACTCACGCGGGCGTTGCTCAGAGGAGGCCAAGTTTGGGGACGCGACAGCGAGGAGTAACGCGGGAAATATGCCGCAAATGCGCGCCAACAGGGTTCGGCTCCTCGGGTTGGGTAGGGATCCTTGTGGGGCGGCCTGAGCCCTGGCTGTCAGGCTGTCGGATGCTGTCAGATACTGTCAGGCTGTCAGACCGGGGCTCAGAACCCTGAGCCCTGGTGTCGAGGTGTCGAGGCCCGGTGTCGAGGGTGTCGAGCTGCTGTCGAGGGATAGAGGTGTTGTAGCTCGATCGGTCACACCGCCATCGCCGCCGGGGAGAGGGGGGACGACACTGCTTCGGCAGCGTGCACCTCGATCCTATACCGTGTTTGTTATGACCCCCCCCAATGAACACTCCAGTGAGGGTGGGCGAGACGATCGAGGGGTCCCGTACCATGCGGAATCGACCCTATCCAGTGCTCAAGTGCTCAAGTGTCGAGGCCTGTCGAGGCCTGTCGAGGCCTGTCGAGGCCTGTCGAGGCCTGTCGAGGCCTGTCGAGGCTGAAACCATGCTTGACCGTGTCGAAGGGTGTCGAGGCACGAGGGGTGTCGAGGGGTGTCGAGGGGTGTCGAGGGTGTCGA